GGCTGTACTGGAAACTTCTCCCGCGTAAAACATTGGCGGCTGCATCAGAGACATCGGCACCGGGGCACAAAGTCAGCAAAGAATGAATAACAATCATGGCTTGTGCCAACGCCGCTGGTACCCACAAATTACCGCTTGTTGTCATTGGAAAATCAAAGAATCCTCGTTGTTTCAAACACGTCAACATGAACAATCTCCCAATCCGATATTTTAACCAAACAAGAGCATGGATGAGTGGGGTAATATTTTATAGTTGGTTTCATGGTGAATTTGTCCCTGGCGTGAAACGTCACCTTCGACAGCAACACCTACCGGAGCGAGCGTTACAACTTTTGGACAACGCTCCGTCCCACCCCGATGTTACGGAATTACGTAGCGACGATGGAGCGATCAAGTGTTTATTTATGCCACCGAACACAATGCCGTTACTCCAACCCATGGATCAAGGAGTTTTAAATGCCACAAAGCGTCGCTACAAAGGGAAGATGCTAAGAAAAGTTATCACGGAAAATGCAGTCGATGAGCATGAAAAAACACTCACCGACTGTATTAAATCTGTGAACTTGAAAGACGCATGTTATATGATCGGGGAAGCGTGGGCCGAAATTTCTGAAGTTTCACTGAAGAATGCATGGCATAAATTGAAAATCAATTTGAAGGATTCCGACGCCGTAGCTTTCACTGAAGTCGCTGATGAAATCGACCTGCCAGACATTGCATCTCAACTAGGCCCTGAGGACCGCAATGCTGCCATAGAATGGATGGAAACGGAAGAAGACGACCCAGGTTTCCAAGTGATCAGTGATGCAGAAATTATTCATTCTGTCCAGCAATCAACGACACATGTAGAAGAGAACCAACAGGAAGATGGATACAACAGTGACAAGGAAAATGAGCCATGTGTTCGTGTACCAACTGACAGCGAAGCAGCCGACATGTTGTCAAAATGTGTGTTATGGCTGGAAGCACAACCAGACTGCGAGTCAACGCAACTTCTGTTATTGCGTGGGATACACAAAAAGGCAATCCAGAGTCGTTATAAGACATCAAAACAGAGTTC